TTATTCGCCCATATGGAGATGTAAGGAAAGACGTTGAAATCAGAATCACTGACCACATCAGCCCGTAGCATCGGACTTGCTCATCACACCATTCTCAGTAATATTATATGCTCCACTTATCCACTTATCCACCTAAATGTGTCATAATTTTCATCCCTTTATAGCTATGTGGCTCTTGGCCCATATAAGCCTACTTTGTTTACATTATATAACGTATCCTAATATGCCAACCATAATCAATATTGATGCATGCAGAGGCGACGACTACCGATCTGATTCTACGATCTTCGGGTTTATTAGTCGTGTATATCTGCTGAAACTAGTTAATGCACATGTGATAGGACAGGTTGGTAAATTCAGAAGAAAGATTTCACTCCAACTAAGATTTCTTGTTAAAATCCACCGGGTTTGGGTGATGGAACACTGAAAATGTACTCTTACCGTACTTACGATAGACAATGGCCACAAGGACTTGTGAATTGAACTATAGTCGCTGTTTTAACAGGTCAAAATATGTAAATAAACGGTTCACCTTATTTGTTGTGATTTTGAATAGGGAGCTCGGAGTTACACAAAGATGAGACCGGATGATAACTATAATACGCTGCAGCGAATTAAAGAATGGAATGCCACAAGACTGGACTTATTCAAAATTTCCGAGCCAAACAGAGTGAGTCCTTTTGGTAGTGTACTTTCTGTGTTTTTTCGTTCGATTAAAGCTAGTGCGAAACTCATGCAAGGTGAAAACCATTAGAAGACTGTAGAACGGATCACTACATTCCGAACAAGCAAAAAATGGGAACATATAACATTGCGAGCACATACATTTTTAACGTGTAGTTTGACAGTCTTCCTTGCTTGCTAGAAAAAAAGTGATAATTGCAGTAAATTTGGAGGTGTGGTGCAACATCCGGCATATAGGGATTGGGACCTCAGCCAGAATATCTAGGAAATGACAGGAGTGTGTGTGGTGGAGGTCAAGACCTGATCTAGTTAGGGTTGATCAATCGACCGGAATGAATTTTGACACTTATAATTGTCATAGGCGTAAAATGTATTTCCTGAATAGTCAGCTGACACCGAGAGGAATTAACGTTCACGAACTAGGTGGCCCCAATATTAACCATAGCTCTAATTTGGCGTCCGATTTCTACCAGATATTGTGAGTCTATCGATGCTGCGCGCACTTTTAACCGTTGCAGCCGTGCGCAGACTTCTGGTTCCTCATGGAGTACGAAACATTGACCCGTGTATCATTTATGAAGGGCGGGAACTGGGAAGTGGACCGAGTACAGAGATTCGCCACTAGAAATAATACCAGAACGGAGACATCTCACTTACCTTGTTCTATGCCTGGAGCTTAACATGTTCAATCTCATATACTCCGTATATAATTCCGAGGGAGCGGAAGCATCCGATGTTGTTGGTGCCCATTAACCAGGCGAAATTGGTAACTGCGCGAGGGTACAACCAGAAAGTTAAAGAGCCCTGGTCTCACGGAAAACCATTACCATTTTTGCAACGGCTTTTCTGTTGTCTACAAAACAAAGCCATCATGGATCGGAGCGCCGAAACACTCAGTGGCTTTTTAAAGAAAACACAGTTGAAGTGCCACAAAGGTTGGTACATATACAACTCATTTTATGTCGTCTCCATCAACAACCCGCTTGGCTCACAAACTTCCTATTATCATCATTCTACTGACAACCTTGATAATCCTTTCGTATCTTTGTGGATAGCAAACTCTTCATTCCTACATTCCAATTACTTCAGCACACAAACCGTGAGAGATCACTAGAAGCAATCGTAAGAATGGATGTAGGCAGTGCCCCTCAGCTTCTGAAGGTAGCAGGCGTAACGAACAAATTCCTAAGTACAACACCTTCGGGACACAGAGAGGATGGATATTCTTGCACATTGTCTCAGTTTACATTAGGCTGTATGTTGATCACTCGGTCCAACTACAGAGCTATTCATTTAACGTGGTAAAAAATGCTGGAAGTTACACACCGCTGCATCAACAAATGGGTGTTTTGTATAACGGGCACTACTGTAGTATGTGACCTAGAAGCGGTTGAGGTGTGAACAACCATTCCCTCACCAAATACTAACGACTTGGTTCTATTCTTGCCGCAAACTTAAGCTTTATTGACACCACCACCTTTAGAGTTCACGAGCTGAATATCCCTGTCCAGCATAGATGTGTGGATTGCCATCACAATTTACGCCACTCACATTTTACACGTGTGTAGCAGTCCATATTCATGCGCTTTGCTTTTGCCTAAGAGTTAGCGGTGGTCAAAAGTTTGCTAGACGCACATCTTCATGGTTGACATTACACCGCCGTGACAGAAAACATTGAAACTGTCTCACAGCAAACTGTTATGCCCTGTGGGTTATGAAAAGCCTGGATTACTACCCTGCACAATCGTACGGATGGTTCAGAGGTGAGATTTACTCGGCATCCTGGAGATTCTCCAGAATCTTGGTGTTGTTGGGAGCTGCTGGGTGAGTGGAAAGTGACTGCAACAAGTCGCCTGTCCCTAGCGGCCATGGAGAGACTGTGAAATATTTTAAATGTTGTTTGAGAAGCAGGTTATACTGCTTAGCTGCGGCTGCCCTCTACTCTTTTTCCCTCTGTCTCCTCTGGTGATTAGTATCCCACATAAAGATGTTTAGGAAACCAAGATGTCCGAAATCGGCCTTGTTCTAGTAAAGCAACTAAATCCTCCGGGACCCTGTATATGACTGTGTTTCAATTCACTATGTCTTGTGCGCAACCCAATTGCGTCTTTATGGCGGCTCACTAGGTTGTTAGAGAGGAGAAATCAGCAAGTATTTAGGCATCTGAAGCATTACCAGGTTAAAGCCCAGTTTTGGCAGCTGACCGGCATTTTCAGTCTTAAGATTTTGGTAAAGTCTTAGGGGATGGGACTGAAACGTCACCGTCTGTGTGGTCTCTTGGATACTAGACAACGATCGGTGCTGGCTTCCGCCAGACACAGGTGTATTTTAGTGTACATACCACTCCCCAAGTGGTCAAAGCACCACAAGAATAAGCCTAAAAATTCATGGTTCAGTTTCTTTTTACATTGCCAGGGTGGGGAGATCTAAAGCTTTCCTTGTGAATGTGTTTAACAGCTAGTCCTAAGTGACTTTTAATCTTTTGCACTCATTCTAGTGATTTCTATTTTCTAACAAAGGACTCCATAAATGATAACAGATTTTGCTTCAAATCGGATGGAGTGTACAGTACTGCTCCTGAATATGGCTTTTCTCTGCTGGTGATGTTAGATAGAATCCTTTGGGG